AGCCACAGCTCCAGGAGAAGCTCAAGCAGCTGCAGCTAGGCAGAGGTCCAGCCCCCAAGGCTGGCACGGCGCCCACAGACTCCTCCTGCCTGCTGACCCACCACCCCCCTGAACTTCGATTCCGGGAGCCCAGAGTCACCGCAGGGCACTGGCAAGGGGCTGCAGGACCCCCGGAGGAATGGGATAAACGGCACCAAGGGCAGCACCCCCGAAGGTACCGAATGCTGGCACTGCCCAAGGGGTGTGAGGCTGGGTTTGTGTGATGCCAGAGCCATAAGCTGGTCTCTCCGCTGCCAGGATGCTCACCGACCCCCTATGACTACCCCACGCCAGAGTCCTCCAGCCGCAGCTCTGCCACCGATGACTTCTGCTACGTCTTCGTGGTGGAACTGGAGAGAGGACCCATCGGGCTGGGGATGGGGCTGATCGACGGCGTGGTGAGTGCTCAGCAGTCGTTGGACAGGGCTGATGCCCCTCCACACAGCTCTATCCCACTCCAAACTTGCTCTCAAAAAAGCCAGCAAAAAAAGCTAGTGGCTTCCCAGTGGAGCTAAGCTGCGTCTCCTGGGGAAAATTTGGCATAAAGAGATCTCCCTGCAGGAGCAGATCTCTGCTCCTGTGTCACTGTGCCATGCATGCAAAGTCCACCACAGCTGTCCTGCAGCTGGAGAGGGCAAACAGGCTCAGCTCTCTCGTGAAAGGAAAATGACTCAGCTGAGGTTTTTCCTCCACCCTTCAGTGGTGGCACGGAAAGCAGAAGGGAGCATGGAGGCTCGTGGGGTGCCAGAACAGCTCTGCCGTTGCATGAGGTGGCATTGGAATCTGATGTAGTGGGGTGGATCATCTTACTGAGTGGCCTTTCACGGCAGCATGTTAGTCAGTAGGAAACAAAGCATCATTGAGCCCTGGGACAGTGTGAGCAGAGCTCCCATCCCAACACGGCTGCAGGTTAACAAAGCTTTACTCCCATTTAGACTGAACAAGAACAGATTGCCTCCACCTCTCCTTTCTGTGTATAAATTGATACAAAACTAAAGGATCACATTTCCTTCCTGTCACTGTTAGCACCATGCCCATCTATCCATTACATTCCCAGCATCTCCAGGATCCCACCTGGCATCAGGCACCCACTTGGCCAGGAGCCCTGGGGCAGAGTCACCCTGCCTGGGGAGCTCAGCCCTTTGGAACCACAAACCTTTTGTTCCCCCTTTGTTGCTCACTGCCTTTCCCTATCAACAGCACACTCCTCTCTGCTCCCCGGGGATCT